GCATCCACTCCGTATCCCTACCATTTACCTCATGCCAACAACATTTTTCTGCCCTTCTTTGCGGAAAGTGAGGTTCTAGATGGTTTGTCAACGATTGACATATCATTCTCGGCGGGTCCAGACAAGGTACCAAGTTGTATTTTAAAACACTGTGCCCAGTCCTTATGCAAACCGTTGACATATCTTTTCAACCTATCATTGGAACGGTCCTGTCTTCCAGTGATTGGGAACGAATCCTATATCATTCCGCTTCACAAAAAGGGTTCAAGATGTCACATTGAGAACTACCGAGGTATTGCAAAGCTTTCCGCCATTCCGAACCTGCTTGAGTTCCTTGTTACCAGGAAATTGCAAAACCTATTCAGTAGTCTGATATCTCCATCGCTACACCTTTTTTTTAAACATCGACCAACATCGACAAACCTTCTCGAGTTCTCTTCTGCAATTAAACAAGGATTTTAAAGCTCACTGCACACAGACGTAATTTTCACGGATTTTAGCAAGGCTTTTGACTCCATGAACCATTCTCTGCTCATTCACAAGTTTCTTTAATTGGTTTCCCCACTAATCTTCTAAACTGGATCTCATCATATCTTTCTAACCGCACACAACGTGTTTTGTTTAGTAATGTGTTGTCAAATGTTGTTAATGTTACATCAGGAGTGCCACAAGGTAGTCATTTAGGTCCACTTCTGTTTATTTAATTTCTGAATGACCTTCCTCAAGTTATAACATACTCTTCTACACTAATGTCTGCTGACGATGTTAAAATCTATCTCTCCTACTCTGATTGGTACCTGCACAAACGCCTTCAACCCGACACAAATGAGTTGCTAATTCGGTGTTCATTAAATCTCCTTTTTCTGAACCTTTCTAAATGCAAACTTATGACTTTTTACTGTCGCGCTCCATATTTTGTCTGGTACGCTCTAGGAAATCATGCTCAAATGACCTTGGAGTTCGTTTCGATCATAGACTGTGTTTTAATAGCCATATAGCTGTAACTGTAAATAAAGCTAAGGGTGTTCTAGCGTTTATAAAGCGTTGGTCCAAGGAATTCGACGACCCGTATGTCACCAAAACATTGTACGTCTCCTTGGTTCGTCCGATTCTAGAATATTGTTCTTGTGTGTGGAGTCCACAGTACAAGGAGGAATGTCCAAATACAATTTTTAATTTTTGCTTTACGTAATTTTAACTGGGACTCGGATAGAGTCACCTGCCACCTTATAAATCGAGGCTACAACTTTTGGACCTCCCTTCATTGCGCCATCGCAGAATTTGTAACGGCGTTAAGTTTTTACACAAGCTCCTAGTTGTGCTTGTTTACTCACAATCACTTCTAGGCCAGTTTGATTTCTCTGTTCCCCTTAGACCTACCCGTACCATTCGTTCATTTCGTTTACCCTTCTGTAGGTCTAATTACGCTCAACAAGAGCCTTTTGGAATGTTATGCTCTAATTATAATAATCTTTATCATCGCCTGAATTATCCCTTAAAATTATAGCCAATAAGATATACCTGTACCTACAATCCTCTAGTTATTAATTATTTCTTATATCCCCTTTTTATACCCGTACTCAAAAAAGAGTTAGGGGTATATTTTATTTGTGGTAAAAGTGGATGTGTGTAACGCAGAGAAGGAAACGTTTCCGACCACATAAAGAATATATATTCTTGATCAGCATCAATAGCCGAGTCGATATAGCCATGTCTGTCTGTCCGTCCGTCTGTCTGTCTGTCTCGATGTGCGCCTAGATCTCAGAGACTATAAGAGCTAGGGCAACCAAATTTGGTTTCCAAACTCATGTGATATCACACTGTTACAAGTGTATTTCAAAATTTCGTCACGCCCCCTTCCGCCCCACAAATGACGAAAATCTGTGGCAGACACAATTTTAAAGATACGCAGAATCGTAGAGAATGACCATATCTACCAGATTGCCGTATCTGAATCAGATCGCATCATAATTATAGGCAGAGTGAAGAAATTAATTTTCTGTTGGCACCCTCCTGCCAGAGACCCGCTACCTATCCCTTTCTCGCTCGCACACTCTGCCGCGTTCAGTGCGCGAGCAACCCCTAGCGGAGGAGATTTAGAATCTAAATGGTACATATAGAATCTGCATGGTAGATGTATAATATACATAGTAGATGTATATGTAGATAAGAGATGTAGCAAAAAAATGTAAAATTAAAATTTTTTTTTAATTCTACATAAATTATAAGCTCAAAAATTGTTCTACTGACTGAGTACGGGTATAAGTAGAGTCGCGTCCCCAGAAGCGACTCACACGTTCCTTCTAGTTTCCTTTAATTTTAATTATAGTTTATATTAGCAGATAGTTACTGATGGCAAAAACGAGGATTACCTCATGCACACATTCTAATTTTGTTAGTCGACAAAATACTCCCTTTGGAAATAGGCAATTTCCGCGGAAATTTAAGATCCGTCTACTGATCAACTACTGTTAGATATAATTACCGCAAAAAGGATTCATGGCCCATGCGGTGACATGAATCGATAATCGCCTTGCATAAAAGATGGACAATTTACAAATAGTTTTCCAAAAGACTTTACCAACGTCGAACAATGGGGCCTCAGCCCCAAAGAGTAAAAGTAAATTAATTTTTTGAACGCTTTGGATAAATCCAATATACGAATCCAATAGAGAATTTTCAAAGGATTTCAAAAATTAAAATTTTAATTTTAGTTTAGGAGATACATATGAGCAATCAAAGTTGAAAATCATTTCCGTGTGCAAAAATGTTTTCAACTTTTATTGACATACTGCATCTTTCGGGTAGAATAAAAATTAAACTGTGTGAGGTATCATTCTGTTTTTGGTATCTTTTACTAGGTGTATTTATTTTTATCAATATTCAATGAAAAACTGGTTCGTTGCATAGACAGTTCTAGAGAAAAACGTATTTTTCAAACCATCTAGTTTTTGTGTTGTTTTTCAACTTTGAGCTGAATTTTAGAATAAGTATATTTTTATATTCCCGAAATTTTTTTTTTATGTGCTCTGTTCGGCTAAGCGCCGGCCCATGGCAGCGCAAAGTGAGCAGAGCTAATCACGCAAAACATTGCCTACCTGACGTTACGCTCTTGAGTCATTTGCCCCTTCCCAAAACTCGTCAGCCGACGAAGGCTGTGAGGGAGGCTCGTCTGCGCAGCAGATGCACTTCGAAATCTCGTATCATCCAAAAAACAACGTATCGTCAGTTGGCACAGTGACCTGACGGCCATATCATTACTATTCTTTATACAAAAAATGCATTTGTTCTCGCTTCAACACGGGTCCGCCTGTTGCTAATTCTTGCCCATACTCTTCCCACTCGCCTTGCATGGCAAATAAAGAAAACTAATATAATCAAACAACCTGTGTTGTGATTAATCAAGGTATAAATTTTCGATTTAACCCTAAGCTATTGGAAAATCTCAATAGCTTAACATGCTCTTTGAATATTCTATTACCTAAGTTTAAAGACCATATTTGCGCATCCGATCCGTTTGGCCGGCCAAAAAATGGGCTGTCCCAGCTCTAATACCCATACAAAATCTTAATTTTGACGTTTTTCGTGCGAACAATTTAAAAAAATAATATTTGATTAAAAAAAAGGTTAAAAGTATTATATGTAGTGATAAAAACCATTAAACCAGCGATGTCCAGGCCCATTGCCCTCCGAGCCCTTTTGTTTTTGTAATTGCCCTCAGCATAGGAAACCAATTCTTGTATGCATACACAGTTTGTGCTGTGTACCAGCATACCGAAAGCCCAACACATGCAAACATCTTTGTGTGTATGCGATCCGTCCAGCAAAAACCGGTTTTGTCTCTTCGCTGATTGGTGTTAACCCGACTTTTGTTATGATTTTGTTGTTGTTTTTTCTTCGAGTTTGCTTTGTTCCCTTATTGGTATTTGTGTTTTTGTTTGGGAGTATTGGTGAGTGCCCTGCCGTAAGCTGACTTTGGGCATCTCTGCATTAAACTCTATTTATCGAAAAAAACAAAGTTTAGCTCTTAATGCACCACAAACAGGCAAATATTCACCGGAATCAAAGGGCTTGCCCCCTAGTCTATGTATATGAAACTATGCGAAAATTGAACCGGGCTCAGAAAATTGCGATTTTAGAACGGCTGGAATGATCTTCATAGTTTTTATTTTTTTAGTTTGTCTTTTGAAAAAGCGACCGCGACCGGAAAATCGCGCTCGGAAAATGTTAGTATTGTTATATGAAGTAGGTCTTTCCAGGGCTGTCAAACGGCAAAATTTTGAAATACACTTGTGGTAGTGTGATATCACATGAGCCTGGAAACCAAATTTGGTTGCCCTAGCTCTTATAGTCTCTGAGATCTAGGCGACAAACAAGACGGACGGACGGACATGGCTATATCGACTCGGCGTTTGATGCTGATCAAGAATTGGGTCGGAAACGTTTCTCTAAATCCACTTTTACCGCAAATCTAATATACCCCTCAACTATTTTTGATTACGATTATAAAAAATAAATTCAGTCGGATTAGATTGCTTATGTACATATATAGTACAGATGAAATAAATCAGAAGTGTGCCAAAACTTCAAAAGCGAAGGATTTGCTAAACTGATGACGAGCAGTGTATGTTGGTCTTACTGCATGTATTTAATTAAATAACAACGCTAAAAACAAATGGGGGCAAGTTTTTTAAATGAAACACTGTATAATCGAAAATGAATTATTCATTATTTCTAAGAGCACAACTTTTAGTTTCACAACTAGAGCAGCATCTGACTCAATTCGCCGAAAGTTGAATCAAGAGCAGGTTAGGAAACTATTTACTCTTCACATTTGGTTGTGCACAATTATCTATTGAACAAAAGTATTTAACAAGAATTAAGATTATATCAAAACATTCCAACAGGACATAAATCACACATTGGAGGACTTGGTGAGTATAGCTTATATTTCAATTTGATTAGTCATTTTATTTCAACTTTAAAATTTTATATTTTACCTGTTATTTCTTCTAGTTCTACGATTGTTGTTTTTGTTATTAACAATTATAAATACAGCTAAGTAGTGCTGGAAAACCCTAGATGGTACTATCCATATATCGATGCTGTTATCATAAACTGATACATCGTTAAGAGAAAAAGTATCACTATACCACCAATGATGTTATGACATTAGGCTTTGATAACTTTGCCCAGTAGAGAGAGATGCATAAGATGAGAGACAAAATTCCACATTAGGGGTCGTAGCCGTCTCTATACACGTCTACTGGATATCAGTCGAAAAATATGTATACATGGAGGATTCGGTTTTTACATTTACTTTAAATTTTAATTTAATTTGATGACATTCTGGAATCCGCAAAACTATTTATTTACTCCCTGTACTGTTACGCGCAAAATTTACTGCCGCTTATACCCACGCGTTATTGCCAGCTCATACAAAACATATTTGATAACCACCTTATTTTATAGAATAGAAATATTTGGAAATTGTGATGCTGAATCTCAGAGAAAACAAAAAATAACATTTAACAACATTGTCACCATATTTCAATTTTAGCAACAAAAATATTTAAAATGGATTTGAAGACATGGATAGGGTACATAACGATTATATTCTTTCATCGAATAGTTTATACCTAACAGCATAAAACATTAAACTTTGCCTCATCAACTAGAACGTTGAATCTGGTAACCATAAGGAACTGACTTGCCAATTCAGAAAAAACAATTTTTTATACTTGCTATTCGATTATGGAACGAATTACCTATTAACATATTAACAGTCAGTAGAAAAATTTCGGGAATATAAAAATATACTTATTTTAAAATTCAGCTCAAAGTTGAAAAACCAACCCAAAAACTAGATGGTTTAAAAATACGTTTTTCTCTAGAACTGTCCATGCAACGAACCAGTTTTTCTTCGAATATTGATCAAAATAAATACACCTAGTAAAAGATACCAAAAACAGAATGATACCTCACACAGTTTAATTTTTATTCTACCCGAAAGATGCAGTATGTCAATAAAAGTTGAAAACATTTTTGCACACGGAAATGATTTTCTACTTTGATTGCTCATATGTATCTCCTAAACTAAAATTAAAATTTTAATTTTTGAAATCCTTTGAAAATTCTCTATTGGATTCGTATATTGGATTTATCCAAAGCGTTCAAAAAATAATTTACTTTTGCTTCCTCTTTGGGGCATTGTTCGACGTTGGTAAAGTCTTTTGGAAAACTATTTGTAAATTGTCCATCTTTTATGCAAGGCGATTATCGATTCATGTCACCGCATGGGCCATGAATCCTTTTTGCGGTAATTATATCTAACAGTAGTTGATCAGTAGACGGATCTTAAATTTCCGCGGAAATTGCCTATTTCCAGAGGGAGTATTTGGTCGACTAACAAAATTAGAATGTGTGCATGAGGTAATCCTCGTTTTTGCCATTCAATTGAATACATCCAGCTTTTTTTTTATTGTAGAGGATCAGCAACTATCTGCTAATATAAACTATGATTAAAATTAAGGGAAACTAGAAGGAACGTGTGAGTCGCTTCTGGGGACGCGACTCTACTTATACCCGTACTCAGTCAGTAGAACAATTTTTGAGCTTATAACTTATGTAGAATTAAAAAAAATGTTTAATTTTACATTTTTTTGCTACATCTCTTATCTACATATACATCTACTATGTATATTATAAATCTACCATGCAGATTCTATATGTACCATTTATAGCCTTTTTACACTGGGCGCGTCTGCTATCGATATCGGAATAGACGCAATGAAGCAGAAAAGGCGTTTACATTGGCAGACGTGCGTCTTGAATTTTGTTTTGGGTGCTTAATGACAAGGAAAGTAAACAAATATTGAGAAATCAACAGAATTATGCAAGACGACAAGAAAATGGACGAAAGAGAATTGATTCTTATATTTATTTATTATTTTCAGACATTTCTTTGTAGAGCTTGTGGGAGTTCTTCTTAAAATTATGAAAACCATCGAAGTTCGTCTCCAGCAGTGTCATAATGGCATCAGGGGATCACACAAATGTTGTATGATAATAATACAATCAGTTTCAAGTATTTTATTTCATGATTTTATGTATATTTTAACCTTTTTGCACAACCATTCATTTTAGCGCCAAAATTTGATTTTTTAACTACAAGTTTTTGTTGTTCTTAGAGGTGATAGTTGCGCTGATAGGCAGAAAAGTGCAAAAATGTGCAGTTAAGCGCAAAAGCAATCGAATATATCGAATAGACGCACATGAATCAGAGACCGACGCAACTTTTTGCAACCACTAGGGCCCTATGCTTAGCCTATGTAAAAAAAACTGCGTCTTCGCCAAGACGCAAAGAAGCATGACGCAGTCCCAATGTAAACAGCCTATTAGATTCTACATCTCTTCCGCTAGAGGGCGCTCGCGTACATAACGAGGCAGAGTGTGCGAGCGAGAAAGGGATAGGTAGCGGGTCTCTGGCAGGAGGGGGCCAACAGAAAATTAATTTCTTCACTCTGCCTATAATTATGATGCGATCTGAATCAGATACGGCAATCTGGTAGATATGGTCATTCTCTATCTTTAAAATTGTGTCTGCCACAGATTTTCGTCATTTGTGGGGCGGAAGGGGGCGTGACGAAATTTTGAAATACACTTGTAACAGTGTGATATCACATGAGTTTGGAAAACAAATTTGGTTGCCCTAGCTCTTATAGTCTCTGAGATCTAGGCGCACATCGAGACAGACAGACAGACGGACGGACAGACAGACATGGCTATATCGACTCGGCTATTGATGCTGATCAAGAATATATATTCTTTATGTGGTCGGAAACGTTTCCTTCTCTGCGTTACACACATCCACTTTTACCACAAATAAAATATACCCCTAACTCTTTTTTGAGTACAGGTATAAAAAGGGGATATAAGAAATAATTAATAACTAGAGGATTGTAGGTACAGGTATATCTTATTGGCTATAATTTTAAGGGATAATTCAGGCGATGATAAAGATTATTATAATTAGAGCATAACATTCCAAAAGGCTCTTGTTGAGCGTAATTAGACCTACAGAAGGGTAAACGAAATGAACGAATGGTACGGGTAGGTCTAAGGGGAACAGAGAAATCAAACTGGCCAAGAAGTGATTGTGAGTAAACAAGCACAACTAGGAGCTTGTGTAAAAACTTAACGCCGTTACAAATTCTGCGATGGCGCAATGAAGGGAGGTCTAAAAGTTTTAGCCTCGATTTATAAGGTGGCAGGTGACTCTATCCGAGTCCCAGTTAAAATTACGTAAAGCAAAAATTAAAAATTGTATTTGGACATTCCTCCTTGTACTGTGGACTCCACACACAAGAACAATATTCTAGAATCGGACGAACCAAGGAGACGTACAATGTTTTGGTGACATACGGGTCGTCGAATTCCTTGGACCAACGCTTTATAAACGCTAGAACACCCTTAGCTTTATTTACAGTTACAGCTATATGGCTATTAAAACACAGTCTATGATCGAAACGAACTCCAAGGTCATTTGAGCATGATTTCCTAGAGCGTACGTGACAAAATATGGAGCGCGACAGTAAAAAGTCATAAGTTTGCATTTAGAAAGGTTCAGAAAAAGAAGATTTAATGAACACCGAATTAGCAACTCATTTCTGTCGGGCTGAAGGCGTTTGTGCAGGTACCAATCAGAGTAGGAGAGATAGATTTTAACATCGTCAGCAGACATTAGTGTAGAAGAGTATGTTATAACTTGAGGAAGGTCATTCAGAAATTAAATAAACAGAAGTGGACCTAAATGACTACCTTGTGGCACTCCTGATGTAACATTAACAACATTTGACAACACATTACTAAACAAAACACGTTGTGTGCGGTTAGAAAGATATGATGAGATCCAGTTTAGAAGATTAGTGGGGAAACCAATTAAAGAAACTTGTGAATGAGCAGAGAATGGTTCATGGAGTCAAAAGCCTTGCTAAAATCCGTGAAAATTACGTCTGTGTGCAGTGAGCTTTAAAATCCTTGGTTAATTGCAGAAGAGAACTCGAGAAGGTTTGTCGATGTTGGTCGATGTTTAAAAAAAAAGGTGTAGCGATGGAGATATCAGACTACTGCATAGGTTTTGCAATTTCCTGGTAACAAGGAACTCAAGCAGGTTCGGAATGGCGGAAAGCTTTGCAATACCTCGGTAGTTCTCAATGTGACATCTTGAACCCTTTTTGTGAAGCGGAATGATATAGGATTCGTTCCCAATCACTGGAAGACAGGACCGTTCCAATGATAGGTTGAAAAGATATGTCAACGGTTTGCATAAGGACTGGGCACAGTGTTTTAAAATACAACTTGGTACCTTGTCTGGACCCGCCGAGAATGATATGTCAATCGTTGACAAACCATCTAGAACCTCACTTTCCGCAAAGAAGGGCAGAAAAATGTTGTTGGCATGAGGTAAATGGTAGGGATACGGAGTGGATGCGTGGTAGATATGTGACGAGTACGTTGATTGAAAGAAGGTGGCAAATAAATTTGCAATACCAGCAGCAGAATATTTTGATTTGCTTTAATAATGAAGGGATGGAGGAAATGCATTGGACTTACGTTTAGAATTTACAAAGGAATAGAATTTTTTTGGATCATTACGGAAATTTGTACTACACCGAGAAAGGTATTGATTATAACACAGACTATTAACATTAAAGAATTAATAACGAACAGAGGAATATTGGGCGAAGACAGACATAGATCAAGTATTCTGATACTTTTTATAGAGCCTAGTTTTTTTTTTTGTTCTTTAAATAAGACAAATTCTTGGAGAACCAGGCATGTTTCGTTTGACGTGTAATTTTTTATTTTTAAAAAATCTCATTAAAAACTTCACTTTTTGTATGATGAAGAATTTCAATAATTCATTGTGCTGATTAAGTAGTTCGTAAACTCCTTCAACTATGCGACTGGCTATTCTAGAATTAAGGCTATTGTAACCAACAACGTGCATCTACGCGAGTGCGCTATTTATTCCCTTACCACTTTAATTCGGTTATCATTAGCTACAATGAGTCTACCTTGTGGTACGCTTGTCCTTTA